CCCGCCACCCGCCCCTGCTCCTACCTGAGACTCGGTGCCGCAGGTGTCGAAGCGGGCCTGGATCCGGAAGGTGCTGCCGACTTCCTGGGCGGCACAGCTCCGGCTGCCCAGGTAGACCTTGGTCCGCTCCAGTGGTGCCAGTGCCTGTGCGGAGATCAGGATCTGGAAATCCGTGCGGGAGCAGCTCACGTTCACGGGCACGACTGGGGATGGAGGGAAGGAGGGGCTGGAGGCCTTAAGGGGCAGGTGGTCTGTCCCCAGCACCCCCAGACCCCACCCAAAGGGTGGTGTGTGGGAAAACCAAGGCTCGGAGAAGGGAGACTCCTATGCAGCCCTATGGGGATGTTTTACACGTGTTACTCCACTTAACTCCATCAGACTCTGAGCTCCCCAGGGCAGGCACCAGGCCCTCTCGTGTCCTTGCAGCCTGGCACAGAACTTGGCAGGTGCCGTGGGGTGCTGAATGAATGAATGAATGAATGAATAAGTGAATATTCTTAACCATAAGAAGAGCTACTATTTGCTGATCTCTTTGCGATGTGCCAGGCAATTCATTCAATTATTTAACACATATTTATTGATGGCCCGCTATGTGCAGGCACAATTCTAACAGGCACCGTGGAAACAGAAACGGAAGAAAAGAGCCCAAACTCCCTGCTTTCTTGGAGCTTACATTCTAGTTGGGCGAGGCGGCAATACATACGTAAAATAAAATCCATGTCAGAGTGGGCTGAAAGAAAATCAAGCAAAAAAGAAACAGGGAGAGCAGGGGATATGTGGGGAGGTGGGGGGAGCAGAACAGTTGTTTTGCAGAGGGTGGTGAAGGAAGCCTCACTCCCCACGATGACTCCATGAGGTGGACACAACTAAACCCATTTTACAGTTTCGGGAACTGAAGCTCTGAGAGGTGAGGTTGTTTGCGGTGGTTGAGTTGGGATTTTAACCGTTATTGAGTCTATAGGATCGAGTCTTTGGGTATCTCCCCACCCTATACACACAAGATGGTGTGATGTTTTGTGTCTGGGTGTATTTTGTATTTGAGCATGTGTATTGGGGGGGGTGGGCCATGCTGGCTGGGGCGGGGGCAGTGGAAGGGGAGAAAGGGGTGGCTGGTGGGAGAGAAAGGGAAGAGCTGGCAGGCAGAGGCCTGGAACTCTCAGCCCCTCTCCGGGAAATGCCTCAGACATATTTCAGCCTCTGGTGTCTGGGCAGTCGGGGATTTATGGGCCCGCCGTCTCCCACGATGATCTCGGTGGCGCTGAACTGTGTGTCACCCCTGATTGATGCCGAGCTTGTCCTCCAGCCGGGAGGCCGCCTGCAGCCTGGGCCACATCTGGAGCCTGGCCCAGCGTGAGTGCCCCTGTCTGACCCTGGGCTCCCATGGGGATCTGGGGAGGGTGGTGGGGTGGGTGGGAGTGGGGCTCCTGGCCCTGGAACAGAGCCAGGATTTGAGCTGCCCCACCCTCAGTCTCTGGAGGAACCAAAAGGAAAAGGGGCTTGTCCAAGATCCCACAGAGCTGGGAGAGGACCCATGCCCAGAAACAAGACTATTAGAGCCAAAGGGGATTTTAAAGATCCTTCAGCCAGTGTCCTCATTTTACAGATGGAAAAACTGAGACCCGCAGAGAAAAGACAACTTACCAGCTGGCTGTGGCAGATCCCATGGCACCTGACTCTCTGGAGTGAAACTCTAGAAGGGCTTGCTCTAAAAAGGGACAGCTCTCCTCCCCCAGTTTATGGATGGAAACAACTGAGGCCCTGGAGGGTGGGTCTGCCCAGGTCACTTTGCTGCCACTAGGTCGCTGAGGCTCTGCTGTTTCCCTCCCCATCACCACTTGTGTTGGGGGTAAGGATGGAGGGGAGATGTTTTGAATGCAGACCAGGCCTGAGACACAGGAGGGGAAAAAAATCCACCCTCAGCAAGCATGTGCTCAGAGTCAGGCACTGGGACCTGTCTGCCTCATTTCATCTGAATGACCACCTACCTAGGGCACTTACCAACCCCTTGTACAGATGAGGCCATTGGATGGCTGGTAAATGGCAGCATTTGGATGTGGCCCTGGTCTGTCTGAGCTCAGCCCTGACTCCCTCCCCTCGGGCCCCGCTCAGCACAAAGGAGGCAGGCATGAGTTCTGGTCCTGGCTGTGTCCCCACTGCCTGTGTGACTGTGGTGGTCTTTCCTCTCTCTGGACCTCCTTTCCCACATCTGCACAATGAGGAGCTTCACTCTGCTCAGACAGAGGGAAAAAATGGGTCCAGAGCACAGGCATTTCTGGGCCCATGGCCCAGGGAAGGGGATGAGAAGACAGCAGAGATGGTGGACGCTGCTGGCTGGCAACTCTAACGGGCACGATGGAAGCTGGAAAAGCCCAGTACCAGCTTCCTCAGCTGCCTCTGAAGCTAGGCATGACTATCTGACCAAGTTCAAACTAATGAGACCAAGAAGTCTTTTCAGGGCTTCTGAAAATGCTTTTGCTTTCCTGATAATGGGACACTTGTAGCTGGCATCTCCCCTACCCTCTTCCAGCCTGGAACACGGACATGATGTCTGGAGTCGTAGCAGCCATCTTGCAGTCAGAAGGCCAAGAGAATCCCAGAGATACCGGCTGAGACAGTGTTAAAGTCCCTGAACCAACAAAGCAGCTGCCTAGCTGGAGACTTCTTGTTATGTGAGGGGAAAAAAGGCCATTTGTGCAAGCCACTGTCAGTCAGGATTTATGACCGACACAAGCAAAGCTTGTTGGCATCTCCATGGTTATGCCAATTGTTTATCATGAGTAACGTGGCCATATTTTGTGGACTGCCCCCGGATACATAGGATAAGCCACAGCTCAAGAGAGGCCAGGGGCCCCAGGGGGAAAGAGACAGATGGGGTCAGGGCGATTAGGGATCGTGGAGTTGGAAACTGGAAAGGCAGGGCCCTGTGGTAGTAGAAATAAGCAAGGGCCACACTGGCAGGTCTCAGAGGTCCCAGGGCAGCAGGTGGCCATCCTGTAGCCACACGGGGAGAGGCTGAGGACACCAGCTGGTGGGTTGGAGAGAGGAAGCTACAAAGACCTGGGACCCCAGCCTTGCCCTCCTCCATCAGCACACCCACACCCTCGACCCCAGCTGACCTCCAATGTAGGCCACAGAGAAGCCCCTTCGGGTGGTGCTGCGGTCTGTGTGCAGCAGAAGCAGAAGCTGGTTGTGACTTGAGGTGACTGGTGCTGGCAGGTGGTGGCCACACCAATTCCCCAGGAGGGGTGCCTCCTCACTGGCCCCATCAAAGGCTGCCAGATGGTCAAAGTCGCAGGTCCTGGTCAGGCTGCTGGGACCCTCCAGATCTAGGTCCAGAAAGAACACCTTGACCCGGTAGCCAGGAGGCAGGCGGATGGTCCAGTGGCAGTGGATGTTGTTAGGGTAGGAGCTGGGGTACTGTGGACTGGAGAAGTTGCCTCGCACAGCCGTGTACACTTCCTGGCATTCTCCTGGATTGGGGAGAGAGGGACAGAGGAGCAATGATGAGAAGGGTGGAGACTGTCACCCTCTGCAGTACAGCTGGGGCAATGGGCGCCATAAAGGTCCTAAAACCACCCTGGCAGGGGATGGGCACCATGGCCGGCCAGTAAACCACACAATTGATCCCAAAGCCTGCTTTACACTGAAACTGGCTGGGAGCTGGGACTCTCATTCCAGTTGGCAGTCCACGAGGGCTGGCCCCGTCAGGAATTCAGTAACAGGACCTAATACGTGTCCTCAGAGTGGAGTCCAAACTTGGACTTGACAGACAAGGTGGCTCATGGCCTGACCTTGCTCATTTTCTCACTGCCCCTCACCCAGCCCTACCTCCCAGCCTCACCAAACATCCAGCATACAAGCACACTAAGCCCTCTCTGTCCTCTGTGCTTTTGCACGTGCTGACCTCTCTACCTGGAATACCCTTCCCTTCCTTCAGCCTCTGGCTAACTCCTTCAAAACACTACCGGATTCTCTTCTCCTCCAGGAAGTCATCCATGATCCTTACTGTTAGCACCGATCCCAGTGGGTTTTCATTGTCTGTTTCCTTCTCCGTCTCCTCCACTGCCTAGTTCACTTCACTGTCAAGAGTTCATTCGTTCATTTGCACAAACATTAATTGAATCCCTTCTATGCGGCAGGTACAAAGACAAACCCGTAGGAACTCACAGTCAGGGGAGATCAATGTGCAGAGCACAAACATAAATGAGAGTGTTAGATCATTGCTAAAGGAGTTGAAAGAAGGGAGTAACTCTGACTCCATCAGGAAGACTTCAGAGAGGCGGAGACATGCTTATGCCTTGGTACTGGCCGGGCAGGGACAGACACAGCATGCACGGGGGACTCAAGGTGTAGCCCCAGCCCCTTCTACCTGAGAAGTAGTAGGCCTTGAAGCCCCGACCTCCAATGTTAAAGTCGGACTTGAAAACCACCTGTAGCTCGTGGCCCAGCGACACGAGGGTGGGGGGCCTGGTGCTGCCACAGTAGTGATGCCCGTGGGCAGGGCCGGGCCCCCCAAGGACGACCACGTAGTCATAGGTGCACTCCTCATTGCCCTCCATCTGGAAGTCCGCGAACACCAGCTTGACAGTGGCGGGGCCGGCGGCCCGGATCACCCAGCGGCACTCCACGTTGTTGGGATAGCTGTCGGGGTACTCGGGGCTGGTGAGGACACCCGAAAGGCCCGTCAGGACGCCGCCACACACATCTGCAAGGAAGCCCTTCTTAACTGACCTTTCTTCCTCCCTGTGATCCCCTGGACCCCTTCCCTTGGGAACCGGACACCCCCCATCGTGCCGCTCCCACAGGTATGTCATGGGAACCTCGTCATCATCCCCCGTGCACTTGCTAAGCGTCAGGCACGGGCCCGGCACTTAGCACCTACACAGTCTTCTGACACCATTACCATCACCCTAGAGGAATGCTCAGTGGTTCTCCCCACTTTATGGTTGAGAAAATGGAGGCACAGAGAAGGTAAGTAACTTACCTGGGGGAGTTGGAGTTCACCCGGATAGCCCCCGAGACGAGGGTCCGAGCACAAGGAGTTTATTTGGGAGACATGGGGGGCCCCATGTGAGGAATGAGGGAGCCAGGGTCACTAAAAGGTATTCTTAGGCCAGCTGCTGAGCCCTGCTGGGGAACTCTGGGGAAGGGTGTCAGGCACACGCCTCAGAGTTCTGTCACCCGAGAGAAAGGAGCTGGGGCGTTTGTACACCAACCCTGAGAGTCCAGGCCGAGGCTGCTGGGGATACAGGTGACCAACCGAGACTTCAGAGGAAGCCTTCAAATAGAGACACGGAGGTTGGCAGGAGCCGCTGACGTGGCGAGGCCCCAGGAACACGGGCAGGGCTCTGACAGCAGGTCACCCAGCTGGTAACAGGGAGAGCCGGAATTGCCTGATTGCAGAGCCCGGGCCCTTGACCTGCTGATTCTCACTGTCCCCTCCTGTGAGGCCCGTGGGGCACAGAGCCTGAGGTTTGTGAGTTCAGGAGTGTTCTCAGACCTCTGTGACAGATGCGCAAGCTGAGGCTTGGAGAGAGGATCTGATGAAGTAGAGGTGGACTTGAACTGGGCTTGTGGTCTGAGGCTTGAGATGTCCTCTCAGCTCTGTCTTCTCTTAGGGGTGTGGCCCCAGGCAAGTGACCCCTGAGCCTCGTGGGAGTAGGAGAGGTCAGAAGACCTGCCCGGCCCGATCCACCAGGCTCGGGCTCATGCAAGAGTCTAAGATGCTGGCGAAAGCCCTCTGGAAGCCAGAGCAGCCAGTACAATTAGGAGGTGGGTGATGACGAATGACCTGACCAGCTGGAAGCCACCGGCAGGGAGGGGCACGCTGGTATTTCCCAAGACTCCAGAATCTCGCCCCAGGGCACGGCTTTGTGAACCGGGCACTAACTACACTGGGCTGGGCGGCTAAGGGCTTGACTTCTTGTCTCAGCATTTCCCCCTCCCACAGCCGTGTAACCTTGGGAAGCCACACTCCCTCTCTGCTCTCAAATTTATTGTTTGTGAAACGAGAGAGCAGGTTTTGACAGTCGCGAGACCCTTTTCAACACTAACACCCTTAGCTGAGGCTTTCAAACCATGCTCTGGGGGTTCACAGGAGCCACCTGGGGCATCTGTCTGCTGGCATGTGGGGCAAGTTTCACTCTTATGCTGTATTCAGACTATCTTTAATGCACTGAAAGACAGCGTCCACAGTCACAGGTCATATATAAACACTTCACTCGTTGGAGGCCATCAATATTGACTTATGGTTTCAGTGATTGACATATAATAAGTAAATGCTAAAGACATGAACTTACAAAATACAGTAAAGGCATACCAATAAAATATTGCTTTCCTCTCTTTTACGTATAGGGGATTAACATAAGGTTCCATTTGCTATTTTAAAAATGTTGGAAAACATCGCTCATGGTATTATGATTTTGATATCCTAACATTTAAAAAACCTAAGGGTCGGGACGCCTGGGTGGCTCAGCTGGTTAAGCGTCCGACTTCAGCTCAGGTCATGATCTCGCGGTCCGTGAGTTCGAGCCCTGCGTCGGGCTCTATGCTGACCGCTCAGAGCCTGGAGCCTGTTTCGGATTCTGTGTCTCCCTCTCTCTCTGACCCTCCCCCATTCATGCTCTGTCTCTCTCTGTCTTAAAATAAATAAATTTTTAAAAAATAAAAAAATAAAAAAACAAAAAACCTAAGGGTCTAGGGGCACCTGGGTGGCTCAGTCGGTAAGGTGTCTGACTTCGGTTCAGGTCATGATCTCACAGTCACACTGGGCTCTGTGCTGACAGCTCAGAGCCTGGAGCCTGCTTCCAATTCTGTGCCTCTCTCTGCCTCACCCCTGCTCGGGCTCTGTCTCTCTCTCTCTCTCTCTCTCTCTCTCTCAAGAATAAATAAACATTAAAAAAAAATTTTTTTTTAAACCTAAGCATCCAAAACTATGATGAGATCAGTGTGTGATTCTTGTGCTTTCTCATTCCACAATTCTGTGCCTCTAAAGCCAGCTTGGGGAGCAGTCCCACCTGAGCCCCCTAATTGCTGTTGGTAGACCCTGTGTGCCAGGAGCCTCTGTGGTTGTCTATTGCTTGAGCTAACATGATTTAGGCCCTTGGTTTGGGCCTTGGGAGAAGGGAGGAGGTTTGAGCGTATGCAGAGAGGCCTGGAGACAGGAGGAATAAGTCAAGGAGGAAGGCAAGGAGAAGGCCTCTGCCCCCCTCACTAGACTATGGTGCAGGTTTCCAGCCTGGTTGAGGGAGGGAGGGTTAGGGACCTGCGATATAAGAGGCATTAGGAAAGACTTAGGGAGGGAGAGTGTCACCAGCCCCACACAGACCCATGCATATCTTATACTCCGGAGGACTTGGGTTGCGATGGGAGGGGTCTCTTGCCCATCCCCAGAGCATGGCGTCCTCTCCTTTGTCCTGATGCCATGGCATGGGATAAGAAGGATGACGGCAAATGCAAGAGTACAGCGAGACCCTCCTGGGGACTCCCAGGACTACTGCCGTGAAGGTGGGAACCCACAACCACCATGACCACAGCCAGAGGCTGCCTTTGCCCCGGAACTGCGACAGCAGGGTCACCCAGGCTCTGGAGCAGCCTGCAAGTCTCGCCTTAGCCCACTTCTCTTCCTCCCCCCTGCCCCTGCAGGGCCACCCTCTCCCCTGCCAGGACCCCCTTGCCTTTCTGGTAGCCAGCAGAAAAGCCGCGGCTGGCCACGTGCTTGTCTGAGTGGAAGACGACGGACATGACATGCCAGGAGGAGGTGAAGGGCGGCGGGGGCACCCGGCCGCAGAACCTCCCCAGCAGGTTGCCCTTGTCTCCTGAGGCGCCGTTGTAGACCTCCAGGTAGTCGAAGCCACAGGCATCATGGTACTCCAGGTCGAAGGCGTGGAAGGTGAGCAGCACAGAGGAACCCTCGGCCACCACAATCAGCCAGCTGCACTCTGTGTTGTAGGGGTAGAGCCTGGGGAAGTTGGGGCTGGAGAAGTTTCCGGAAGGTGCTGAGAGCACACCCCCACATTTAACACCTGGGGCAAGAGGGAAGAATGGCTCAGTCAGTGCTGAGGTCCTGGGGGATGGGCCCAGCTACAAAGCTGGGTCTTTGGGATGGGCTGGGCTGAGGGAGCATGAGGGACCACGACCCTAAATCAATTCATTTATGCCTATGTGTGCTCATTCATTTGCTTATTCCTCAAATACTTATCAAGCATTCTTTTATTTATTCAACAAACATCATCTGAGTGCCAGGCAATGTTCTAGGTGCTGCGGTTACAGCAGGAGCAGAACAGACAAAAATTCTTGCCTTCGTGGAATTTACATTCTGGTGGGGAACGTGGATGATAAACACAGTAAGTAAAATATAGAGCGTATTGAATAGTGATTAGTGCTGTGGAGAAAAATAAAGCAGGGAAAGGAGATAGGAAATGTCAGGGTGGACCTATAATTTTAGATAAAATAGAACTATGTGCCAGACCCTACACGTGTGCAGGGAGGAATTTAAACATTACAAATGATAATACCCCCGCCCTGAGTGAAAATGCACACAGCTTGTTGCGGTTAAAAGTACATTCTCATATGCACATATTTGCTTATATTTAAAAAAAGAAAACAATGGAAGGAAACTAATAAAAGTGATTCTCTGTCAGGGGATGGAGTAAACAGAGGGGAAGAAAAGGCATGCCGTCTAGACCTCTTTCAGTGCGACTTGTTTTATGATTTTGACTTTATAATCATGAATAACTTTTAATATAATTTTTAACTTGGCAAAAAAAAAAAAGAAGACATTTTTAAGTAATCCCTAAATATTCCAAGCTGAAACAAATAAACTTAGCCATATATCAGGTTGGAGGCACATTCACATGGGGAAAAAGGATTCCAAATGACGTGGAAATACACTTTTTTTTGACTGTATGTTCCTAGTGGGATATATCCCCAGCACAAAATGAACCACGAAGAAATCTGAAATATTACTCAGTAGACTTACTATTTGACTAACAGTCAGTAGTGCTATTTTATAGTATTTTATAAATCGGAATAAAGCATGTATGTTAATGTCAATAGAAGCTAAGACGTTCAGTGTAAGAGGAGAGCAATACAACGATAAAGTTAAAAAATTAAATAGAACACTTGTGGTCCCCGATTTGAATTGAAATTAAGATTTATTTTTATTTCTAAAAAAATTAGTTTCCTAGCTCTGTTCACTGAAAAGGTCAAAAAGCATGTAGCCAGGCCTGTGCTGACTCAGAATGGGTGTCTCCCTGGGGAGAGTACTGTGGACCGGGGAGGAGGGGGGAGTTGGTCAGGGGCTGGGAGTTAGGCAAATGAGACAAAGCCAAGCAGTGTGACTGCGGCCACACAGGGGCTCTGGGGGCCGCAGGGAGGGAGGCCAATCTTGCTGGGCCAGCACTGTTAGGGGAGGGACAAGATTCACAGGGAAGGTGATACTTGAGTCTGGCCAGGAGGGACAAGAAGGTTGTTAGTTGGGGACAATTCGGAGGGAGGAAATGACGTGAACAAAGCTCTCACGGTCACTTAGCCTCCCCCAGCCTCAGTCACGCATCTGGGAAATGGGGTGGCTGCGAGCACCGGGGAGAAAGGGCTGCAGAAGCACACCCGGCTCAGGTTGTCAGCTCTCTGCTGGCCCCCGCAGCAGGCTGGGGCAGGAACCGTGTCTGATTCATCCTTTATGGTAGGAGGACAGAGGGACATTCTGTCCAGTGCCTGTCCTTGTACTTCCCCCGGCCCTGCCCACGGGACAGGAAAAGCCCTGGGAGTGTTGGAGCAGAATTCCTGTGGCCAAGGAGGCCTCAGGCGCCAGCACAAGGGGAGGCCGTGTCCTCCAGCAATCAGCCAGCCACCCAGGACCCCAGGGTCACCCCAGGGTCACCCCAGGGCCACTGAAGCCCCAGAGGCTGGAAAATGGAAACAGCTAGCTTCTCCCCCTACAGGAAGGAGTGAGACGCCTGCATACCCAGCCCACCTCTGCCACCAACTAGGTGAGTGGCACCGTCCCCTTTCCTTCTTGGAGGCCCACCCGAACCTGCAGGAAAACCCGGCACTGAGGGCTGTTTGCTGAGCCCCTGTAACATGCACGCCCCTTGAAGACCAGTGAGGTGATACCCCACCCCACCCCCGCCCCTGGCTTCACAGACACACAACGCTTACAGGGCTGGAGCAGCACAAAGCCACCCGGGACCGGGGTGCAGGCAGAGGGCTCTGCGAGCTCCAAGAAGGGAGCATCTGAGGCCGACGAAAGCGTGTGGAAGTCTTCCTGGAGGAGGTGGTGTTTGACCTGAGTTTGATAGATGACCCAGAGGTTCTCAGATGGAAAAAGAGAAAAGGGACCTTCCAGACAGAGGGCACAGTGGGGTGAAAGCTCTGAGGGGGAAGCATTTCCAGAAGGGGGGTATATCCTCTGCCAGGACATGGGATGCCCAAGGGACACAGGGAACCGAGGCTGGATATTACGGAGATTAGGGCCAAACCTGAGAGACACTGAATGCCATTAGGAGGGACTGTGATCTCACCCACTGGCAGTGGGGAAGTACAGCAGGCTGTCAGGAGGAGAGTAAAGGCTCCCTCCGGCTTAAACCTTCAGTTGTTCTCTGAGCCATTCCCTTAGCCCTTGGTAACTATGCCTCCTTGGACAGGTTACTTAACCTCTCTCTCTGCCTCAGTTTCTTCACCTGTGAAATGGAGAACTCATGCCCACCTTGAAGTTTGCCATGAAGATGAAATGCAGTCATATTTGTGAAGCACCCAGCACATGGCAGGCACCCCGTAAATACCGTCTTCCACCATCTCAGAAACAAATACATCCTCAACTCAGCCAACTCCCTCCATATGGCCTCCTGCTTTCTGTCCTCCCACACGGAAGCCTCCTGAGGCCCTGGCAGCCACCTGGCCACTCGTCTACCCCCTCCCAGAGCCCGCCTGTCCTCAGGAGCTCCTACCTGTCATGGCTTGGGCCCCGGGGCCTGAGCCCAGCAGAGCCACTGCCAGCAGCAGACAGGACCCCAGCTCTGCCAGCATCTCCTCGCCGGGGCCCCCACAGGTCCGTAGAGCTTGGGGCAGGCCAGGATCTGAGGGTCTGGAGCAGGGGAAAGACAGGTGAGGCTGAAAAGGCCTCTAAGTTAATGGCGACCTGAATAATTCATCAGCCCCTCGAATTAGTAAGCCGATCCCCAGGTGCTTCCTTCATTCCACTCTAAGGTGACGGATCTAGTGTCACCAGGTTTACACATTCTGAGATCTGCACTGGCCACACCGCATCAGGAAGGGAAGCAACTTCGGGAGGGAACGGAATTTGGTGGTGGAGAAAGGGCATGAGTTTGGGGGCTCGGCAGATCTGGCGTCCGCTCCAGCTCAGCCTCTAGCTTGCCAGGTGGCCAGGTGGCCTTGAACAAGTCATCTAGCTCCTCTGGGTCTCAGTCTTACTCATCTGTCCAGTGGGGCCATTCAGCCCTGCCTACGGGGCTGTCACGGAAATGGGACGGGGTCACGTGTCTTGCAGCCAGGTTGTGGGTGTTTGCTACGGGCTTTCCCATCCCCGCCCGTGGGGGGTGCTGACGGGAGGCTCTGATTAGTGGGACCGGTGGAATGAGCATCCCTCAGACATGCTCAGATTAGCTCAGAGGGAGAATGAAGGAGGTGGTAGTGGACAGCTGATGAGGGAAAAGTCTTTTTCACGGAAGAAGGCAGCTGGAATAACAGAATGGGAAGATAGTAGTGCGCACCTCCTAATGCGATCACAGATCTGGCCGCGGTGGAAATTCTGGCCAAGAATCTTAGATATTCCCTCATCTGATCCACAAACCCTGCCTGAACATCACTCTGCGCCAGGCTGTGTGCTAGGTAGGAGTCAGGCTGCAGAAATGCCCTCAAGGGCTCTGCGTCCGACAGGAAACAGGATCTTTCTACTTCCTCTAGGAGCCCCATTTGGTTCAGTTCAGCCCAGGGCTCGTTTGCGAAGCTCCTTCTCTGTGCAGAGCATACACCAGGACAGGGCATCTGAGGGTAACACGGCATGTTCCCGCCTCCCAATGAGGAGGCTGGGCTCTGCTGACAAGATCTGAATCCTGACTCTGCCTCTCCTGCAGGGTGGGAGCAGCCTGGAAAAGTCGCCCAATCTCTCTGAGGCCCAGCCTCCGGAGCGTGAAGAGGAAAAGACAGTAGCTTGTCACTCGCTGAGAGGATACAATGAGATGGTGCACGGGAAGTCTTAGCTGGCGCCTGGCTCCGCGCATGGGAGGAAGCACGATTTTTATTTACCTCAGAGGAACTCAGACGGCCATCTGCCAGACCACATGTTGCCTCTGGCCCATCCTTGTGTCAGGAGGTCCCCGGGGAGCCCTTTGCTGGCAGCATGAGAAGCCACCTGGAAGGTGTTCAGCAGAGAGCATCGGGATTGGTCAGGCCTGAGAGACTGGCTTACCTGTGGGACTTGATTGGCAGCGACAGAAAGGTTCCGCTGTCCTGGGCCATCTGAGGGGACGGGAGCTTTTATTAAACACCCACTGTGTGTATGAGAGAGAGCGCTGACCTAGTGCCTGCTGGGTGCTGGGCCTGGTGCCAGAAGCCTCACGTCCGTGTGCTTGCGCCCTTCTAATTTCACAGGCACACATTAGACTCCCTGTCTTACAGAGGAGGTAACTAATACCCAGAGGGTTTGAGCCTGCCGTCTTGGGTTGAGTTGCTCTGCAGGAGGTCTCTGTGACAAGGGTTCAAGGGCAAGCAGCTTATTTGGGAGGTGATCCAGGAAGCGCAGGCAGGGGCGTGGGGAAGTGAGACAGGGTTGAGAAGAAGCCAGTTGAGGGTATGTTGATGAGCAGCTACCATGGTGGGCAACCCGCATGCACACTTCCGGCAGATGGTGTAGACTATGGCCTCAAGTTGTACCAGTGAGGGGCAAGGAATGGCTCCAAAGCACAGGGGTTGCAGGCAGAAGCTGTCTGCATGCCTGGAACGGTGAAAACCAAGATGCAGGCAGGGCTGTGATGGCATCGGCTGAGCCACGGAGAATGGAAGACTGTCACCGTCATCACGACTACACCCTCGACCTGCTATCCCTAGGAACACTCACCTCTGAAATGTTCATCCTACCCTTGAAACAGCCGTCTCTTTCCACACTCCATGCAACCTCTAGTCTCTTTTCCCTGTGCTTGTCCCACACCTGGCATACCCTTTGCCTCATCTTGGGCTTCGATTCCAGGGTGTGACATCTGTGGGACAAGCCCAGCTGGCTGTATTCTCACCTGCCATGGACCCCCGAGCACTGCTGGGCAGCGCTCCGTCACCGTGCGGTCAGCACTTGTGCCTGGTCAGCGTCTCCAGCCTCTTCTCGGGTCTCAGTTCCACCCTTAGCCTCTCTGTGTTTCCCTAGGTGGCTCTCTCTCTGACCCTCCACGGACATCATCCCAGATGGTCACTAGTCTCCCCTTCTAGACAACCCCAGCCCCTCCAGCAGAAACAAAGAGATGGAAAGCAGACACCCTGTCATCTCCCACCCTGTCTCCAAGTGCTCATCTGTCCCTTCCCTCCAGCTGCAGGATGGTTCCACATCCTGTTCAAGGCCAATTCCACCTCCTATGCCCAGCGCCTGCCCCTCTCACTGACTCTGGGACCTAACCCTCCATTAGCTCCCCTCTCTCTGGGTCCCCAGGCTCTCCTGCCTGGCTTTCCTTCTGTCATCCACATTTAGGCACACGGACGCCTCCCCATCATGGGGGTGGGTGGGGATACAAACACTTTTCACAAACCTGTGTTTCCCTCCAGCTCCCACCCTACCCATCTGCTGGCTGTCAGAGCCAGGCTTCTTGAGAGCAATGTCTACACTTCTTATCGTCACTTTCTCCCCTCCCCTCCCTCCTCTAGGGTCTACAGGACTGCCGGCATAGTGCTACCACAACAAAACCAGGATTTGGTTAGCAAAGAGCAAGGCACAGAAGGCTGTTGTGTTGGCAACCAGCAGTAACCACCAGAGTGCCCCTCAGAATCCACAGTGGACTCATTGTCACCCTCCACCCCTGCTGCCCCCAAACTTGCTTCTCCCCTGGGATTTCCTATTCAAGGTGGTGGCACCACCAACCCACGAGCCAGAAATGTAGCGGCTGCCTCGTATTCCCTGCCCCCTCATCCCCACGTACATGGTCCATGCTCGAGCTTGGTGACCACTTTAGGCTCTGAGGCAACTTCTGAAGCCACCACTGGCCACGCTTACCACCTCGCCCCTGCCTGATGACGGCAAACTCCTCCCTGGCCTGAGTGCCTTTGCTCTTGTCTGCTCTCTTCCCCTCCAAACTGCTCTCTGCCCCGATCTCTCCAAAACGCAGGTCTGACTGCATCACCCCTCTGCTCAGGATAAAATCCCAAGTCCTCTGCTTGGCATTCATGCTTCTTCAGGACATGTCAGACTTTCTTCCCGTCTTGAGTTCCACATCCCAGCCACCGGCATCTCTCCCACTCTTCATGCTCTGTTCCTTGAGCCTGAACTGCCCCTCCTTCTGCTCCATCGTCCCTTGATGGATGCTGTCATCTCCTCCAGGGAGTTGCCCTGTCCCCACCCCAAGCTGGGAGAGTGCTCCCTCTCTGGGTGCTCCCCTAGCACAGCGAGGGCCACCTGACTCTTCTACGAACATCCTCTGTCTTTTTGGGCTTCTCGCTCCAGTGCCTCCCACGGGGCTTGGCCCAGGGCACATCATCTCATTGTCTCCGTCCCCACTGCACACCTGCCCCTAGCACATCCCAAGTGCTCAGCAGCCATTGACGGATTGAACTGCTCAGGAACACACAGCTAGGAAGCATCCCTATCAATTTGAGCCCATGTTCATCTGTGCCCAAAGCGTGTCCTTTTAAATCCCCCCTCTGCCCCAGGGGGAATGGCAAGGGTCTGGTGTGGTTTTGCCTGGCAACTCCCAGAACCAAGACCATGTGGGTTCAGATTGCAACTCTGGCAGCTACTAGCTGTGTGATCTTGGGCAAGTCACTTCGCCTCTCCAGGCCTCCGTTTTCTCAGCTGTGAGATGAGAGTGGCTACCTGTCAGGCATTGTGAGAACTAGATGGCTAAGGCATGTGGAGTGTGAGGAAGAGTGCCAGTCCCACTAAGCTCGGGTACATGCTCTCCCTTATCCTGCCTTCCGTTTGCGCGGACCCCAAAGGCTACACAGACCTCAGGTCTGCTAGTACTTTTCACCTCTCCTGGAAGTCTCCAGTGGGTGGGGCCTCCCCTGCCCGGCTGCCCTCCCTCCAATCAGCAGCCTGGCCTCCGACTCTCTCCCGGTCCCCAGGGGGGGTGGTGGAGAAGGAACAAAGGCTGCCCGCTGCCTGCCCACGAGGGTCATTAGTGCCTGAGCCGCCCACGGGACAGTCAACCCCAGGCTCCTGGGGCCCTGCCAGAGCCTGGCTGTGCAGACTCCCACAGCCGAGCCCTGAGGACACACTTTCAAACTTCCAGGGGGTGTCTTGGCATAGAGATGCCTCCCCTCTCCATGACTGGCTCTGCTGCATCTCAGACGCCTAGCGGACACAAGAGCTGTCTCTGAGAGGCACTGTGAGTATGTCCGGGGTGGAGGGCCTGCTGCCGTACCTGTCTGTTTCGGCCACTGTACAGACACCGTACAGACTGTCCGTCTCTGGGTGCCCCTGCGTCATCATCTGGTCATGCCGTTTCCCCGGGCACACGAGCCCATCTTAGTGTCTGTGCATCAGGCGCCAGGTACATTAATCTCTCTGTGGGTGACTGTCCACTTCTGAGTGTGAATATGCCCTTTGCTGCTGCACCCAACACTGTGCATTCATATCCGTTTCTTTGCACACACGCCCATCTCTGTGCATGCACATGGACCACACCTACTTCTGCCTCTGTGTATCCACGTGTCTCTACCTACACGGATATGCAGCTACGCCTGCATGTGCCCAGCTTTCTCTCTGGATCTGTACAAACATTTCTGAGGGAATGTCCCTCCCCGGCTGTGTATCTGTGTCTGAGTGCAAATGTCAAGCTGTGTGCATGCATGACCGTGTCAGGGGCTAT